CCTGACCTTGTGATCTGCCCGCCTCGGCCTCCCAAAGCGCTGGGATTAGAGGCGTCAGCCACCGTGCTCAGCCGACTGCCTTTTTATCCATAAACGTGCTTTTTCCCAAAGTTCAGTGTTAGCGAGATTTAGTAACTTAGTATTTGTACGTGACCATGGCCATTGTTATTAAGGTCTTTTAAGAACAGCGTTGTTTCTTTACCAAAATTGATTTTTTAGCTTCTTAGGCGTAGTTTCTCCCACCCCAATCTGTGGGTACTCAACTGTAAGATTATGTTCTGAATTGTCATCACAGGACTAGGTAGGTAGGTAGGTAGGTAGGGGTGTGTGTGTGTGTGTGTGTGTGTACATATGTATATAAATTGGTATTTTTTCTTATGTACTTAAGTTACATTTCTTTTAATTTTAGACATTTCTTCAGATCTTCTTCAACATATCTTGGCATAATAGTAATAGTTCCAGGAATCGTTAGGAGACTTTAGAAGTCTTTACTCTGTTTATCATTAGGTATATCACAGTGACTCTTTTTCCCAAAATTATTTCTATTTAAATAACAAAGAATGAGATAAAATGCACTTTCTCAACTTTGTGGCATTTTGTCTTTGGTTAGGTCTAAGAAAAATACTTTTCCAGCAGCTCTTAAGATTAATTGTGAGAAATACATGCTGCATTCTTCCTGAAAACCTAAAAGTAATGTGTTCACTTGCTCAGGCACCGGAATAGCAGTTAATATGCAAGTAGATACACATGAGCCATCATTTACCTTTAATCAAGTTTTCATGCCCTCGTATCCGTTTATAGTTCTGATCATCTTTTTCAGTGTTCATGGCCATCCCTTTAAATTATGGTGGGATTTGTATTTGAAAAATCAGTGCACTTACTGGATTACAGATTTAATCATAATATATAGAAAAACAGTAAAAGCAGTGTTGGGTGGGCAGCTAGGTAGGTATTTTCCAGTTGTATTTTGAGAATGTCTTGATTTTTTTCGTATTTTATTAGACAATACAATCAGACTTTCTGATCAATCTAATTTACCAGAGTGCTATAATTTACCTTCAAAACAAATTTATGTATATTATAATTTAGTTATTACTGAATATTGAAAATAAGTAAGGACCTCAAATGGCTTTTTTTTTTTTTTTTTTTTTTTTGAGACTCGCTCTGTTGCCCAGGTTGGAGTACAGTGGCATGATCTTGGCTCACTGAAACCTCTGCCTCCTAGGTTCAGGGGATTCTCACGCCTCAGGCTCTGGAGCAGTTGGGATTACAGGTGTGTGCCATCATGCCTGACTAATTTTTGTTTTGTTTTGAGACAGAGTCTTGCCCTGTTGCCCAGGCTGGAGTACAGTGGTGCGATCTTGGCTCACTGCAACCTCCCGGGTTCAAGGGATTCTCCTGCCTCACCCTCCGGAGTAGCGGGGATTACAGGTGCCCACCACCACGCCCAGCTGATTTTCATATTTTTAGTAGAGATGAGGTTTCATCATGTTAGTCAGGCTCATCTTCAACTCCTGACATCAGGTGTCCACCTGCCTCAGCCTCCCAAAGTGCTGGGATTACAGGTGTGAGCCACCACGACTAGCTTTTTGTTTTTTAAGTAGAGACAAGGTTTCCCTATGTTGGCCAGGCTGGTCTTGAACTCTTCTCAAGTGATCTTCCTGCCTTGGCCTTCCAAAGTCTGGGATTACAGGCGTGAGCCCCCACGCCTGGCTGGGACCTCCATTTCTCTTTCTTTTTTTTGTTTTAGATTCTCTTGGGGGTATGGGTATTCTATAATGATAACCGTTGGAATTAGTCTAGAACAAAAGGCATTTCTCAAGCTTAGCACTATTTACCTCAAATGACGTATCTCTGAGCTCTTCAATATCAGAAAAGTGCTGTGCAAATAGAAATTATTATTATTAAAATATTTAATCTTCTGGTATTTCATGATTAGAAAAGGATAATCCACATCTTCCACTTCGGTAAATTTTTTGTAGTAAACAGCTACATTCAAATCTTAGTTTTGGTAAAACTTGATATCCTGCAACAGCAACTGTATTGTGGGAAAACATTAGCTAATTATTTGGCTAAATATGTGTTACTTCTGAATTCACGAAATCTTGTGATTAGCCATGGCAAAGTAAAATCTTAGCCATTTGTACTTCGCTGGTTACTGTAGTTAGTTGTTCCCCAGGCTGGTCTTGAACTTCTGGGCTCAAGGAATTCTCCTGCCTTGGCCTCCCAAAGTGCTGGGATAACAGGCGTGATTTACCATGCCCAGACAGGATAACTTTTCATTGTTAATTTTTTTTTTTTGAGACAGAGTCAAAGTCTTTTTTTTTTTTTTTTTT